TAACAGATTAGATCAAATCTATAACCAACAGTATAATTTTCTTAAACCATTTTCAAGTCTTTAGAGGTCTGAAAGGAATATAAACCAGATCAAGAATGTCAAACCCAAAATAACTTCCAAAGCGAGCAAAGCAAAGAGATATTATGAAAGCACACCCAAACCAAAAGGTATGCAATAAATAAGGACCTTAAACAAACAGTTCAGCCAATAAAATAAAGATATTTAGGGTTTTTGATGGAAACGTATGAAGACAATAATCATAGACATACATGACAGAATTACTTGAGATCTCAGCACAGGCACCCATGACGAACACAGATACAAGACCAAAACAGAACAAGACAAGCACAGACAAATAACATCAACCAGATTGCCGTCAAATCCAGGTCCCAAAAGACAAGCTTTTGGGCTCACGGCCAGGTGGGTCCAAGGACGTCTCCTCCGGAACCCGACTAAGGGGAGATTTACAGCGTCCAGCTTCCCACCTAGTTTCTCTGATCAGAGCCCAGAACCAGATGGCAACAGATCACCGGCTAGCCAAAACCAGTAGAGAAACCAAAAACAAAAGTGGTTTCTCGAGCACTCTCTTACCTTGCTGGTGGTGTGGAGGGAGAAACCGGAGGTCTGACTGGGGAAGCAGAAGCAGCCAGGACTGATGCAAGCCCCCTTGCAGGGAGTTTGCGGTACTGTCTGACAGCCGAGGCTGATGCAGGTCCCCTCCTGGGGATTCCTCAGAATACTGCCAGGCAGCTCCCTTCTCAGGGAGTTTCCCGAAGCTGCCGGGCCCAGAAGTCCTCCGGATCTTGGTGGAACCTCCAAATGTTATAGGACAGAGTTCGTAAAAAAATCACCAACACCACTTTAAGAAAAGTAGCAAGGTAAATTTTAATTTTCGACCAGCCGGGCTGTCTATCTCGGGAGTAGAAGCAGCCCTGGTGATTGTCAGGTCAGAGTTTTTATAGGATTACAGAATTATTATTAAAACAGGACATTTGTGAACCAATCAGGTTTGTACAACATAGCAGAATTTTGACTCTATTAATCAACAACCAATCATTATACA